TTGATCATTGGACACTGAATATATGAGCTACCGCTTATTGCTTATGCAATAGCCAATCGAGGCTTTCCATGAAACTCAAATATTTTTTACGTTATGATGGCTCAGAAAAGACTATAGTTTTTTTGGATATGTCACTTGTGCTCAATCTAGAACTTCGCGGAAAGCTTCTTTGAAAATTAAGCATTTTAAAAGATGTTTTCCTGTCTAACTCTACGCACCGTATGTCTCTGAAAAGCTGGTTGAGCAAAAATTTGTTAGGCTTACGTAGCTTTTAGCCATCACTTTGAATTCTCTCGATACAAACACTTCAAAGTCTTTCAAGGGATATCAGGGTATCTGTAATATAAGGATAAAGCTTGAATCTACTTGAAATACCGCCCGTTTAAGAGTTTGATTATGATAAATCGAAAAAATATATCCTTGAGTCAATTACTTGATATGCGAGTCTGCGCACTATACGCCGCAACCGATGGCACCCTCGCTAATAGCTCATCACTAAAACCTATTCTAGCTTGACAAGCTCGGAAATGTGTTCTACTTACATGTAAAGGTTACTGCATGACGAAGGCGCAATGGCAGTATTAGTTGAGCGGGCGCGAACGCGGCGAGCGTGTATCCTCACCGTTCTAAATTCTGCGCCTCCTGCGCTCTGCGGCTAATAAAGCCGCGTTCGCGCCCGAAGATATTGCGCCTTCGTCATGCAGCAGCCTATATGTCCAAACAAATCGAAAAAGACAAGAAAACAAAGAGGAAGTACTGGAAATATCCTTACAATCAGTTAACTAACGCGCATGGAGTGGATCCATATTATAAGTTACAAATGACTTGTCGATAGTCGGAGCGAGTTGAAACAGAAAGGATCGCGATGACGTAGGATAGGAGGAATTGGAAGAAGAGAAAGAAGAAAAAACAGCAAATATGGTCCCATGAGGGTAATGATAGACTATGCTTAGAATCAGTCTTCAGTAACTAACATCCTTGGATGCTAGTTTGCTCCTTGTGACGACTTACGATGACCAGAAGAAGGCACTTGATCAAATAATAGCAGCTTGAATTTCTTAAATAAATTGTAGCCAGTCTCAACGGAAAGGAAAGCAGATTCGAGACTTTGTACACCATTCGATCTATTTTCCTGTTTCCTTTCACCTTCACCACAAGTTTTTATAACCGCTTGCGTGTAGTAATCGTGGGCGCATGTGGATTCAATCAGCTTCGGAACAACGAAGAATCATCATCGCCCACGCAGGTCATCGAATGCCTCAGAATGGCAGACTACGTCATTTGTTCGATGGGTTGTATTGAGTTGTAGTAAACTTTTTTGATTCAAACCGTTTTTATTTTTTTAGCAGAAGGCATTTTTGCTAGGGCATCGCAAGCTCTACAAAATGACCATCAGAGATTCAACTAATCCATAATTCAAGTAATGCTTGGCAGCTGCTTTAAAGTTCGGATTTTCTTCGAATTCCTGGGACTTTCAGTTTGTTCAGCGCAGTACTTGCAGGATTGCTCCACAGCCCAGAATTAAGAAACAAAAACTTTTACTTTTTTAAAGTGATTTAGTTCAAACATGATGTTTCCCAAACGGGACAAAACATACAGATAAGCTACTGTAGAACTTTGTAAGATTGCTTGCTCAAGCTTGCAGTATACAATTACACATAGGGTAGGATAGGGTGGTGGTTACCATTTTTGCGCTATCTTTTTTCTCGATGTCTATGAACAAAAAATTAACAACCGCATTCATGAATATTGCTATTTTTCTACTGTATCTTCCCTACCAAGCTCGAAATCCGTAGGAATTTATTGGAGAGTCTTTGGATGGATAGTTGCAAAATTTTAGTTTCTCCAAACACTAGCTGCATTACGACGAAAATGGACTTTGGTGGTTGTTTTATAGAGCTTGGCAAGCTCTATAAAACAATCACTCCAGTCCTTCGATACATAGAGCCATGTCTGATGACCTTCACTTTGAGCTAGACTAAAGAATACGACAGAAAAATGCAGAAGTCACCCGAGGCGAAGCCCCGAATATATTGTAACTAAATCGGAATAAATGCGATTGAAGCAAGTATAGCGATTAACATCCCAAAATCCCAACAAGGTCGAAATATTGCGTTTTTATATCTTTGTTATGCTAGAAACGAGATGTGAAATTTTCCTAGAATTCGGGACAGCATTTGTCAGTTAAACTCTTTTTACTTTGCGACTGAGTTTCAAAGGTTCAAGAAAGCTGTTGGAATTCACCAAAAACGACAAAGTGCACTTAAATCTTGCACAGAGAGTCGCGTGCGAGAATGCTGGTTAATCTCGTTAAAGAGTGATTCAACGCCGGCGACGTTGTCAATGTCCTAGTCGTGTCATGACGATCAGGATGGTATCCGATGTTGCAGGGATTTGCTGATACCTGGCGGAGGTCAACGACCAGAGTTTATTCACCCGTCGGCCTCGGTCTTTCTCCTTTGCTCGTCTGCGTCTCCGCGCGTTGCGCGCTACCTCGCTATCCCAAACGCGGGCACGGAGCATTTGGCTCTGGCACCCCTTTCGTTGTTTTCTGGGCCTAAATTCTAGCAAACTATGTATCTCTCGATCTCTCTTGGAGCTCTTGATCTCTATTTGCACGGTGACAAAACCCCATTTTCCAATCTGAACGAGAAATCTGGCAGAAATCGTGTTTTCAGATATCTCTTGTTTCTTCTTCAGCTTGATTCTTTTCACGTGTTTTTTTCTAATTCAATAAATCTTGCTTCTCTTTTTAATGTAGACAATGTCCTAGAGTTTACTTCTTTGATTTTGATTTTTTGGTGAAATATTCGACAATAAGCTTTGAAAAGTAAGTTTTTGTTCATTAAGCAATTATTTCCACCCTTGGGGGCATCCTGCTCAGAATTATGAGCAAACAAAGTTGACAACGTCGCCAGAAACAGAACTACGAGAAGGAGGTAATTCAAGGGGAACATCAAAAAGTAAACTGGCTTTGACTTGCATTTCGACTTCGTAAAAACAAAACTTTGTGCCTTTTTATAACTAATTTTTTCTTGTCTATCTTCTTTTTAATGAACTTCAATTCAAATATAGTTGTTTTTGAAACAATCACAAAGTAAAGCTTTCCTCGTTTTCCCCCGTGATGTGGATTGCCTGTTCCTGGAGTGAAAAGCCTCAATTCTGAATGCCGCCAAATCAAAAATTTTGAACTCATTCCAGCGCTTTATCAGGTTTTTAAGAATTTCTTTTGCTGATGGTTTTGCAATTTTTTTCTTCATTTCTGATTTTCTTTGTATAACCTTCACTTTTGGGGTCCTATCTAATGACTATCGAAGGCATAGTCGTAACAACCGAAAAATGTGCTGAAAATATTGTGGGTGGTAAAAATCATTTGCGCTTCTTCAGGATGCGTTTTCACCACAGCTGTTATTGATAATATGGACCAGTCTGGACGACATGGAAATGGAAATGACATGGAACAGACATGAACGGTGTTTGAATATCAAAATTATTTTCATTGCAGATTTTGCTCGACAACTCAAAACAAAATCATCAATAAAGTGCTAGCGGAGAAAGATACTTGATGAAGTGGTCAACTGTAATAAGATGCATATGAATTTTAATCTGTTACGTTGAAATTGCACAATGTTTTCAAGAAATGGCGAGCAAACCAACGGTAGCTGGTGGCTGCCAATAATCAGAGTATCTTTCTCCCTCATTTCTGTTCATTCGGCGCAAAACTCAGGGCATAGCATCTTTCTACCATGCTTTTGATTACATCGGATGGTCTAAAAGATTTTTTGCTTGAGAATGAGGCGTGAGAACACGTTGAAATATCAAAAAAAAGCTTTCCATAGGTAAAATTTCGGGTATTTCATGTATTTTCTTGCCGTGACATTAACAAATTGCACCTATTACCGCTTTGCACAATACTAGATAAAGCATTTTTTTCAACTCTACACTGAGCCTTCGTCGCGCTTTGTGAGGTAAACACTGCTTCAAAAAAATTATGAACGTTTCTCCCATGATTTGGCCAAAATTATCGTATTGCATGAGTCGTCTGTTTTATACTACACATTACTAGCAAAATAAAATGTATCATACCTGGACGAATGCATTAAATTGAGCGAGGAAAGACATAGCACATTGACTTCCTGACCCTCTTCAATAATAAGGTCTACTCTCAAAGGAGTATCATCTTCTCAAACCTAAAGTTTTGCGGATAAGGAAGACACATCCTAAGGTGCCGGGCATACTTCAGGCGATTTCAGTCGCAACGCGATTTGGCAATTCGCCAAAAGTCTTCAGATTCAACATTAGCAAACTGCACATACATAGTGTGTACAAGTTACGTGGATTGATAAAATGGCTTGCCTTTTGTACATTTAAAACGTGTTTACAGTGAGTTATGGATACTTGGAATATTGCCAAATCGCGTCGCGACTGAAATCGCGTGAAGTATGCCTGGCTCTTTACAAATAATCGCGTAATTATTACCTGCTTTATCTATTGGACAAAGTACAAAATGCCTTTGAATAGATTGTAGGTATCTAAAATTTACTGATTCCGCGGATTGTAAGTCGGTTTGATATAGCATTGGTTTCATTTTAGTTTTGATCTTACTCAAATAATATTTCATAATAGTTTTGCATAAATTATTACTAAGTTTATACTTTTTACCGATATTTTTTGCTAAAATTTCAGATGTTTCTCTTATCCATTGTTGGATTTCGTACTTGTTTACTTGATTTTGCATTCGAAATTTGGTACCTTTTGATAATAATCTTGTAGCCTCACAGCTTTTTAGTAAGTTCAAATCTCCGCTAATTATGTGGTTGTGAGTTTATCTTTGAAAGGTGTATAATCTTTGTGGCTGCAAATGCAATCTGTTTTATTGTTTTCATTCAACTGAGAGTTGAGTAAAGTCTTTAATGTTTTATTGTAATTGAACGTGTGGGATGAAACTGGTTTGGTATATTGGTATATAATTCTAGGTGGTCTGTAACTTACTTGCGAGTGTGTTTTAACTATGTCCACGATATATTTATTATTTGCAACCTTATTGATATTCACATTATCTAGTATGGAATGTAAGTATTTTACTTTGATACTACTTTTACTTTTACTTTAACTGAAAGCTGCAGCATCGAAACCCAATACGATTTGTCCGAACAATGATGGAATGAATGACGCACTCAGAAATGCCTCGCTGGACTTCCACAATAAAAATAGGTAGTGAGCCTAGCTACTCTCAAACATACAGACTGATTTCTGTTCAGAGCAGAGCTTGCCGGTGGAAACGTGAAGATGGGGGCTGCTGAGAACTCAATGCGAAAAGCAAACAATATGCCACAACTTGTAAGTTACGCGTGCGAAAAGACCAGTCAAAATGATTGTTACATTTGATAGAATCAAAAATTGTACAAGTTGCTATGCTTAAACGTAAATCTGCTCAGGAAATTGACTGCGATCTCGAAAAGGCGGCCCTAGAGGAAGCACAGAAGTGTGAAGAAAAGGATGAATTGATTGGCCGGGAGTTTAATATGAAGATGATGGAAGGTGCAACCGATCTGGCAGAAGCTCAAAACACTGTAAGAAGTCGAAAAGGTTTTGAAGCTCCAGATTGAACTTTACTTTTGAGGCCCTAGAGGAATGGTGGAATGAAATTACGAAAGGTCCTGTGATCGACCAAATCCAAAACTTGTACTACGATCACAGCCTCAAACAACATTTCTCTAAGGTAAAAAACACAAGTAATACCTTTCTCATAACGCCAGTTCTAAGCTGACGAATCCACTGCGAAAACTACTCTACGAGAAATTCAGATGGCAACCGATAAAACGAAAAAAGTTGGTTGCGCTGCAGTCAAATGCGATAAAGGTGTGCGTGTTGTATGCAAATACGAAGCGTATGTTTCTTAGAATTTTTTGGCGAATACTAGACAAAATTAAATACCAGTAAAAAGTAAATTCCCATTACAGAATCCTGAAGAACGGCGAAAAAATGTACAGCATGGGTCCCACTTGCAAGAAGTGCTCTGCTGGAGCGGGCATGGCAGATTGCCAAGCGGAACCATATGCCGGTTTGTGCCCCGCAAAATACTACAGCTCATGAAGTTGGTCCTCCTATGTCTATTCATGTGAATAAATGCATGCATTTGAGTATTCCACACAACAATAACTAAGCCTGACACATAGATTGAGATTTCTCAATAACATAAAGCTGTTTTTTTTACAAAACTATTTGCACAAATTATCTATAAGGAAAAGGTAACAATAGCATAAAACAAATAGGATCTATGTTTTTAAAAAAGAAGAAAATTATAGAAAAATATCCAATTTCCGTTTCATTCCTTCCACTAGACGGAAAAAGGATAGGAATACGACCTTCCCCGGAAATCATCAGTAGTGAAGGAAGGTCGTAAGCGTGTAATGAAAAGAAGAAAGACAAAAAGGAACTAACCTTAACCAGTCGGATGCTGTTGAGCTCGTTCGAGTGGTTCTGAGTCTGTATAGAATAATAGAATAATTAATAATTGAAATGAATAAGAATTCAAACTATTTTAGATGATCAAAAGGTAACAAGGATACTTTGAAATGAAAACAGAAATCAGAAATAGGACACATTAATGTTAAATTTGTTAGTGTGATCTATACAGAAATATGTGTATGTGTATGTGCATGTGTGTGTGTGTGTATGTGTATGTGTATGTGTATGTGTGTGACCAGAAGAAGGCACTAGATCAAAGAATAATAGCTTGAGTCTCTTAAATGAGTTGTAGCCAGTCTCAACGGAAAGGAAAGCAGAGTCGAGACTTTGTACACCATTCGATGTATTTCTGTTTCCTTTCACCTTCAGCACACGTTTTATAACCGCTTGCGTGTAGCAATTGTGGGCGCATGTGAGTCCAATCAGCTTTGGAACAACGAAGAATCGTCATCTCCCACGCAGGTCATCGAATGCCTCAGAATGGCAGACTACATTATTTGTTCGATGGTATTATGTTGTCCCAAAAGCAAACAATTTGGATTTAAACTGTTTTTGATTTCTTAGCAGAAGGCATTTTTGCTAGAGCATCGCAAGCTCTACAAAATGACCATCAGAGCTCTAATTAATTCATAATCCAAGTAATGCTTGGAGCCAAAAACTAAAAGCTTTCAACTGCTTTGAAGTTCGGTTTTCTTTGAATTCCTAGGACTTCCAGTTTGAGCGCAGTATTTGCAGGATTGCTCCACAGCCCAAAATTAAGAAACAAAAAGTGTTACTTTTTTGAAGTGTTTTAGTTCAAACATGATGTTTCTCAAACGGGACAAACATACAGATAAGCAAGATTACTGTAGAACTTTGTAGGATTGCTCGCTCAAGCTTGCAGTATACAATTACGATAGGGCGGTGGTTACCATTTTTGCGCTATCTTTTTTTTCGATTTCTATGAACAAAAAAATTAACAACCGCACTCATGAATATAACTATATTTCTATGTACTGTATAACGAGCAAATTGAAAACCCGTAGGATTTTTCTAGAAGTCTGATCTTTTGGGTAGTTGCAAAATTTCAGTTTCTCCAAACAGTAACTGGATTACGACCAAAATGGACTTTGGTGGTTCTTTCGTAGAACTTGCCAGACTTTCGATACATAGAACCATAACTCTGGTACCTGCACTTTGAGCTAGACAAGAAAACATGACGTTTACCGCGAAAAAAAACAGAAGTCATCCGGGGCGAAGCCCCGTATACATCTTAATCAAATCAAAATTAAATACGTGAAGCGAGTATCGTGATTAGCCCAAAAATACCTCAACAATATCGATACATTGCGTTTTTATACCTTTCTTATGCTAGAAACTAAAAAAAGAAACGTTTTCTAGAATTTGGGACAACATTTATCAGTTAACCCCTTTTTACTGCGACTGAATTTCAAAGGTTCAAGAAAGCTGTTGGAAGTCACCAAAAACGAGAAACTGCGTTTGAATAGTGCAAAGAAAGTCGTGCGAAATGCTGGTTAATCTCGTTAAAAAGTGAATTAACGCCGGCGACATGTCAATGTCCTAGTCGTGTCATGACATTCAGGATGGTATGTGATGTTGCAGGGTTTTGCTGAGACCCGGCGGAGGTCTACGACCAGAGTTGATCTACCCGTCGGCCCCGGTCTTTCTCCTTTGCTCGTCTGCGTCTCCGCGCGTTGCGCGCTACCTCGCTATTCAAACGGAGCATTTGGCTCTGGCACTCCTTTCGTCATTTTCTGAGCCTAAATTCTAGTAAACTATGTACCATATTGGAGTTCTTGATCTCTATTTGCACGGTGACAAAACCACATTTTTCGATTTGATTGAACGAGAAATCTGGCAAAAATCGTGTTTTCAAAAATATCTTTTTCTTATTCAGCTCGAATCTTTTCACGTGTTTCTTTTTAGCATTTAATAAATTTGATTCCCTGGTTAATGTAGACAACGTCCTAGAGTTTACTTCTCTGATTTTGGTGAAATATTCGACAATAAGCTTTGAAAAGTAAGCTTTTGTTCATAGCTCTATATTAAGCAATTATTTCCACCCTTTGGGGCATCCTGCTCAGAATTATGAGCAAACAAAGTTGACAACGTCGCCAGAAACAGGAATTACGAGAAGGAGGTAGTTTAAGGGGAGCATCAAAAAGTAAATTGGCTTTGACTTGCATTTCGACTTCGTAAAAACAAAACTTTGCCTTTTTACAACTAACTTTTTCTTGTCTATCTTCTTTTTAATAATCACCAATTCAGAAACATAGTTGTTTCTGAAACAATCACAAAATAAGCTCTCCTCGTTTTCTGCCGCGATGTGGATTGCCTGTTCCTGGAGTGAAAAGCCGCAAATCTGAATGCCGCCAAATCAAAAATTTTGAATTCATTGCAGCACTTTATCAGGTTTTTAAGAATTTCTTTTGCTAATGGTTTTGCACTTTTTTTTCATTTCTGATTTTCTTTAAACAACCTTCACTTTTGAGGTCCTATCTGAAGACTATCGAAGGCATAGTCGTAACAACCGAAAAATGTGCTGAGAATATTGTGGGTGGCAAAAATCATTTGCGCTTCTTCAGAGATAAAACTAATAAAAATACCGTAACAAAAACAGTTTAAACAAACAACCTTATGTGCTAATAACATTTGAAATAAACAGAAAAAATGATCCAAGCTGTTATTGATAAATTGCTATCGCGGGCTAGACAAGTGGTATAGATCGTAATTATCTTAGAAGTCCATGGGCACTTATTGCGCCTACGCGAAGCACTGGTTGAAGCCCTAGTAGGGATCTTAAGGCCTAAAGCGACTCATGCTTAAAACAGACATCATATCCGCAGTGCCACAGTGGAGATTTGGAGCAGTTTTGAATTAACCAAGATTTGCCTTCCTTTTGAATAAGAATGAGCAGAAAAAGGTTCAGCGGTTATTGAAACGCAAAAATATAGGATCATAGGTACGCGTTTGTAAGTGATTATTTAGACCTTACAGGTTCAGGAGCAAAAGTTTGTCGTTACTTCTCGAGTTTTCCCTCTTTTTCAGTTTTTTACATTTTTGGCATTCAAAATATTTTTATCCATTGTTCTTAAACTTTTTGGACAGGCTAGAGCACATGACTCTAGTAGAGTTCATAATATCGAGGAGATCCTCTATGCGTCCCTCCCCCCTCCCCCCTCCCTCGTTCTACTATATCAGCTGAGTCTATCACTTTAACTGGTTGTGGTTGCATTCCAAAAAAATCTTTTCGGAGTTTCGTAGAGTATGTAGGAGCAAATGTGGAAATTACTTGAATGAGGAATTGTAAAAATGGCTGCAATATAGGAACAACGTGCAAAAATTTGTACGTGATTAATAGCTTGTTAGTGCAGCGAATAAATACTGTAATCCAGCTAAATCTCCTGGCGATGGAAAAACTTTCAAATCTGAAAGACATGCTAGTTTGTAATAAGATGCGTATGAAATTTAATCAGTTACCTTGAAATTGCACAATGTTTTCAAGAAATGGCGAGCAAAACGAACGATAGCTGGTGGCTGTCAATAATCAGAGCATCTTTCTCCCTCATTTCTGTTCATTCGGCGCAGAACTCAGTGCATAGCATCTTTTTACCATGGTTTTGATTACATCGGATGGTCTAAAAGATTTTTTTGCTTGAAAATGAGGTGTGAACGTTGAAATATCAAAAAGCGACCCATAGGTAAAATTTCGGGTATTTCATGTATTTTCTTGCCATGACATTATCAAATTTCATTTATTACCGCTTTGCACAATACTAGATAAAGAATTTTTTTCAACTCTACACTGAGCCTTCGTCGCGCTTTGTGAGGTAAATACTGCTTCAAAAAGATTATGAACATTTCTCCCATGATTTGGCCAAAATTATCGTATTGCATGAGTCGTCTGTTTTATACTACACATTACTAGCAAAATAAAATGTATCATACCTGGACGAATGCATTAAATTGAGCGAGGAAAGACATAGCACATTGAGTTCCTGACCCTCTTCATTGATAAGATCTACTCTCCAAGGAGTATCATTTTCTCAAATCTAAAGTTTTGCGGATAAGGAAGACACATCCTAAGACGGAACGAGATGCATCCATTATTTAACGTCTTTGAATATGACAGAAACCCCATGATAGCAACAACCACATTATCATTATCAGTATACAATCATGACTGACTGTACACCGTATTTTATCATAAATTCCAGACAAAAATTCTTGTACAAACTCGATCCTGCGCTTGTATGTACAAAAGATAAAATAAGATGATGCATTCTGTCCAATGATGCTTGACTAACGCGCTGGAAAGCAAAAATTTCAATTGTGGGCATGACTAGATTCACATCAAATATCACACGGCGTGGCTTCACCGAAGGCTAAACTTTCTATTTACTGTCCAATTTTCATGTTAAACAATTCGAAATTGCAGAGATCATGCCGAGGAAGATCATTGTTACATTGTTATTTATAATCTTCTGGAATGCAACCGTCGTTCATTCAATGTTATTCATGACATCAATGGCTGTCGTGGTCCCACCACCGATGATGGTGGCCATACCGCCGCCTATGCCTCCGCCTATGCCTCCGCCTGTTATCTTGACGAGACGCAGAATAGGTGAGACAATTATATCAATTGTCTCCAAAGTATTTTCGGGCTTTTTTTGCATGCGTGCACAACTCGCAGAACAAACATCCTTATAAGATCTTGACGAAATTCGATGCATTTTCTCATGCTGTTTCGAAAAGTCATCTTTATTTTGCAGATGAAGTAACGAGCTCTTAGAAAATTACTGTAAACTGCGATCCATGCTTTTTACCAAGGGTCAAGTTCCGCTATTTTTCTAAATTCTTGTACTGATTCCCCCAACAAATCTAAGTAACCTGCGGGTAGGGCAAACAAAGTAGGATACATAACAATTGTCTCCTTCCCAGATCTCTCCATAATTTTCTGACACGTCTTCAAACAACGCCATGGAATAGCAGACCCATACCAGACGCAGACTCGTCAAACTCAAATAAATTCTCGATTTTTATTCGAAAATATTAGGTCGTTCCGAAAGTAATGTCGCTTTTTTCAAACGTAGGCTACATCTCGTGGAACAATGATGTGAAAGAGATTCTGGTAGCATTCGATGCAGCATTTCATTCTCTTTCTAAAGTTTATATAAGCACTGCACAGAATCCACTAACTTCTCGAAGAATCATTAAAATCTGCGACCCATGCTTTTTTAGAAGGCCAAGTTTCACAATTTTTCTTAATCTTTATAACAACCTTCGGAAGGAGTCCAAGTGATGAATGGATAGAGCAAGCCTTACAGAAAACAGCACAACTTTTTTCTACTTTCCATAGCTCTCACAATTTTTTTTGTAAATTTTTTGATGGAACCACCAAATTTTAGCAGGTTCGTCTCAGACACAAATGCATCAAACACCAATAAATTTTCGAATTTTGAAACTTACAGAGATGGATTATGGTTTGACAATAATTTTACAAACGAAATGAGCATCTACCGCTTCAATTAGTAACTTTCGAAAATTCCGGGTACAGCCTGAGGCGCCCTGGGAAACCTACATTATGACGATTTTATCCCGTTTGTCTTGATGAATCAGAAAGAAAAACAACTGGTAGAAAGAGGAGAAAAAGCTGCGTCGAATGACACCCGAGTTGCTTGCAGGTTGTTGCTCTATGAGGTTTGAGTCGACCAAATATGGAATTTGATAGAATTGAAAAATTGATTCCAGAGACTCTAAGAAGCAAGCTAAGGAAAAGAAAAAATTGCTTTGCGTCCTATAGGGTTTGCTTTATCTAAGAATCGCTTGTACTTCTTCGAAGAATAGGTACGAAAATTTAGAAAAATAGCCGAACTTGACCATGGTAAAAAGCAAGAGTCGCAGATTTTGGTACTTTTTCGAAAGCTCATTGAATATTATGCAGCGAAATTACAACCTTAGAAAGAGGATGAAATGCAGCATCAAATGCTTCCAAGATCTTTTGAAAACTTTGATTCCATGAAGTGTGGCGTTCATTTGCAAAAAGCGACATTACTTTCGGAACGATCTAATATATTAAGATTTAGCGCCAATTTTACAAAACAAATGAGCGTTGGAGCTTCGAAATATCGAATCTTGGACTTGCCGAGTAGAGCGTGGGGTGCCTTCAAAAAGATTTTGTTGATTTTATCCTGCAAGACCTTTCGAAACGGAATCAAAAAACATCTATCTGAAAGAGTTAAAAGTGCTGCATCGAATAACACCCGAGTTGCTTGCCTGGTGATGTTCTATGACTAAATTGGCCAAATATGGACCTTGATAGCAGCAAAAATAATTTTTGTTATTCTGGAAAGTAAGCTATGGAAGGAACAGAAATTGTTTTGTGTCCTACTTGATTTCCTCTATCCGCAGATTACTTGGACTTCTTTGGAGAATCAGTACAAAAATCTAGAAAAGTAACGGAACTTGACCATGGCAAGAACCATGGATCGCACTTTTTGGTAATCTTCTGGGAGCCCACTTGTTGAACTGCAAATGAAGATAACATTTTTGAAAGAGCATGTGCATCGAATGCTACCAAGGTCTTCTAAATATGTTTGTTCTGCGAGTTGTGGCACCCATACAAAAAAAACCGAAAATACTTTCAGACGACCTAAGACATTCGGTAACCCTCTAAATAATTATGATTTTTCAGTTTGCTGTTATGGAACTTTCATGGGCTAGCGAATTGCGTTGCAAGGCTTTGGCAAGGAAACGATTCTCATCCGACGCTTTTTGTTGTAACAGTGAAATGTCGCCTTTGATTGTAGACTATATATGCTCTCTGTACCCTTCCGCATTCTTCCGCCAATTTTTTTCTTTGAATAAAAACAAAGAGTTACATTACATGTCTGTCAAGAAACAGTCAAGAGCTCATAGGCGTAAGATTATAATAACCCAACGAAAGGTACGATGAGGCAAGTCCTCTCTTTTCTCTGCCGATAGGGTTGGCCATCGCGAAATTGTGTACTGCAGCTAAGGTCACCGCCACTTCTCTACGGATATTTTCTCTCAACACGCGATCAGGATATCAAATAGAATTTTGTTTACTATTAGACTATCATCGTAAAACTTATCCAAACTTATCCTTTCCATTCTCGCTAGTCATTGATCCTAAAAATACATAGCTTTTCAAAGTTCTGATTTTCCAGATGCTTCCAGTTCTTGTGGTAGTTGTTGCACTGCTCGAGCTTCAGCTGAGTCTCTCATACCCATAGAAGGCCCCACCGGCTCCAATACCTCGTTCGGAAATTTTATCTTCACTTCCACCACCTCCAGCTCCTGCCGCCGCTTCTCCTCCATCGCCACCTCCGCCACCACTTCCTCCACCGCCCCCATCGCCACCACTGCTGCCACTTCTGACTCCTTTTGGCGTTATTCTTCCTCCGCCGCCACCACCACCACTTCCTCCTCCTCCGCTTCCTGCCGTCGTTCCTCCTCCACCGCCTCCTTCACCCCCTCCACCGCCTTCTACCCCATCTCCTTGACATCAGTCTTCTCCTCCTCTTCTTCCTCCACCCCCACCACAACCTCTTAATTCCCAGCCTCATCTTCAGCAGTGAAATCATCTCTCCTTTTCCCTCCTCTTCCTTCTTCACCTTCACATGCTCCTTCCACGCTATCTCTAAGAGCCTCAACCCTAGCTTTGGTGTCTCACAGCCATTTTCTGCTTAAGGTCTGCTTTTCTGTTTTTTTTAAATGTCAGTATGATTGTTCCACAACTTCAGAGATTAAACTATAAGTCCTCTTTTCTTGTAATCAAATAAATTTATATATACAATATATAAATTTATATTTATTTATATATATTATATAAATTTATATTTATTTAAATATATATTTATATATACAATATACAGGGTGTCCCAAAAAAATGTGAACACTGTTTGATCGTTAATAACTCCCTTGCTTTCATGTCTTTCGCCGAGCTTGAGGCACCATTCTGTAGAGCGAGGATTAACTTAGATATGTAGTATGAAGCAAAACTTCGATCTCACTTCGTTACTGTAGGATTACAGTAGGAAATTCGACAAGGGTTTTAGGCCGTTGAAGGCTATTTTCTGCCTCGAAACAGTACCAAACAAGCCAAAATCTCTTGTACTATGGTAATGGAAGCCGCTGACTTCGAATATGAAATTTCCACTTTACTACAATGCTTCTTTTCAGAGTTATCCTAGGTAAACTGTAATAACCGACTTTCCAGCAGGTGTCAAAATTGTGACTACACCATCAAAAAGGCTAAGAACACTCGTAAAAAGTTGTGTAGTGGAATCAGCGTGCGCGAAAACCTTAATACACGATTTTTCAGATTTTTTGAAAAAATTTGGTCAGATGGCATGTTTTACAATGGTTCCACACGCTGGAATTTCTTACCGTAATCCTACAGTAACGAAGAGCAAACGGTGGTTCGCTTTATACTATAAATCTAAGTTGAACCTCGCTCTACAGAATGGTGCCTCAAGCTCGGCGAAAGACGTGAAAGCAAGGGAGTTATTAACGATCAAACAGTGTTCACATTTTTTGGGGACACCCTGTATATACATTTATATAATAACAAAGGTAATCAAAGAAATAGTTGTTCCACAACTATTTCTTTGATTACCTTTGTTACTATATAAATGTACTAGTTGACTTACCCGGCTCCACCCGGCCCTGTCATTATTATATTCGTAATCAGCATGCTCGATTACCCCCCTGTGCCAACTCCCAGCCCCGTAGCTCAAATTTTGCAAAAAATCGATAAAGTCGATATCGATCGATGACGAAAAGTAGCCTATGACACCCGCCGGGGCCCGAAGTGTATGTGTGCTAAGTTTGGTCCCGATCGGTTCAAAAATGAAATTTTCTATTCGGACATACGTACGTACAGACATACAGACATATCGACATACATACAGACATACATACAAACAGACATTCAGCTTTATATATAAGATATAAAGCTGAATGTCTGTTTGTCTGTATGTCTGTCTGTCTGTCTGTACATATGTTCCGGATAGAAATTGCATTTCTGACCCGATCCGGACCAAACTTGGCACACATACACTTCGGGCCCCGGCGGGTGTCATAGGCTACTTTTCGTCATCGATCGATATCGATTTTATCGATTTTTTGCAAAATTTGAGCTACGGGGCTGAGATTGGCACGGGGGGGGGGGGGTAATCGAGCATGCTGATTACGAATATAATAATGACAGGGCTGGGCGGAGCCGGGTAAGTCAACTAGTGAATCATATAGCATTATCTACGATTTAAGGAGATGGTATCAGTGGGGATCTTCAGAGTTCAAGTTCAATGTAACATAATACAGCGTGTCCCAAAAGTATGTATGCACTGTTTGATCGTGAATATTCTTTCAAAAGGTCAGCTAAATACAGGTACCATTTTATAGACCTGGCTTCAACTTAGATTTACAGCACAGAGCAAATTATCGATCTCTTTTATAGCTGGATTACAGCAAAAATTTGAGAAAAATTTCAGGCCATTGAGAGCCATATTTTGCTTCAGAAAGATAACCAAAGAAGCCAAAAACTTATATACTGGGTTAGGCGAAGCCCCTGTTATCAGATACAAAATTTGCACTTTACTATAATGTTCTTAAGCTATCAGGTATACCCTAAGGTTTTTCCTTTTCGTGAAAAATGAGATTGCGCCATTAAAACAGCTCGGAAATCTCGTAAATTGTACAATGATCACCAAGTGTGATAACTCTGCTGCACAATTTTCTGGATTTATTCTAAAAAAAATTCTGCAACGCCTATCTCGCAATGGTTCTGTATACTGAAATTTCCTACCGTAATCCTACAGTGATGGAAAGCGATCGGTTCCTCCATACTGTAAATCTAATTTGAAGCCAGTTCTACAAAATGCTGCCACAGTGTAAGCAAAAGACCACTTGGAAAGTTGGATATCAATGAACAATGAGTTTATAAACTTATGGGACACCTTGTATATAACAGTATACACATGATAACCGTAGTGCGTAAATCAAGTGATAAAATTTATTATAGTATGGACCGCATGGAAATCATCCAGGGATTTGAATGCAAAACTTGAAGAAAGCGATAACAATATCAAACCATTCTGGTACTGCACTGCCTTAGTCATGTACATGTATAGATTCTTGAATTCTTTGTATCGAAGTCTAATTTTGCCTTTCTCTCATTCAGCAGACCCATTCAGAATTCTTACGCTCAATTTTTCGAACAGAGTTTTTCAGTGGGTTAGGCAGATATAATTTCATAGCTGCAAGACTTCCGTGAAACTTCCAATTCAGTTTAAGTGTTTATGGGCCCAGTCTCCGATGCGATTTTCAAGATACGAAAAACTAATCCATATGTACCGAGAAGTCAAGGAATTTGCAATCACTTGATTTGTAGATTATGATCCTTCACAAGCAGCATCCAAATGGAGAAATAATCAGTCCTTTCAAATTTTTTAGCACATATTGATTGATATTGACTGTATGATTTAATTATGATGGGATCAGCATAATAGCCAAATAAAAGGTCTGATTGTCTTATCCGATGGCTCATCTTGGGATTGTGTACTATAAGATTATCGCCGGATCTAAACGGATATTAATATCCGGGGTGCGATTGGCGATATCGCCCCAGTGAGAGTGCTTACCATTGTTTCACCTACATAAGATGTTCCGGTTGCCTTCATTTTTTCGAAGTCCTAAGTTGAAGGAATGTCCTGTTTTTTAAGTTTTGTTTTTTCAGATGCTTCAAGTTCTTATGCTAGTTGCTACATTGCTTGCGCTCCATCCTGGAGTCGCTTATGCACAAAAGGCTCCACCACCTCCAGTGCCTCGCTCGGAAGTCGATCATTCATCTCCACCACCTCCTTCTCCTGGAGCTGCTTCTCCTTCTCCATCGCCACCGCCACCACCTCCTCCACCACATCCTCCTGCAGTCGCTCCTCCGCCGCCACCTCCACCACCTCCCCCACCTCCTCCACCTGCCCCAGTGCCTTTTACGCCATCTCCCATACTTCCAGCCCCTGCATTCACACCATCTCCTGTCCCAGCTCCTCTACCACCACTGCCACCACCGCCACCGCCACCGCCGCCTCCAGCACCTGCTGCAGTTCCTGCTCCTCCACGCCTCAAAGTATTCTAAGCTTTGATATGCTTTTTATTCAACTAATTTCATGACATGTTAACAAAGTGATAAATATTGCATAGTCTATGATCAAGAAAAAATCTTTAGCAATCTTCGACATCTAGATGGCGTCTGAATGCCTATATGAACTACTCTTGAGGGATGACGATCAGTTCCACATGTGAATTCTGCTAGTGATACATCATATGCGTTGTACATTATAGTCCAAAAAAGAAAAGCCAATGTAAGTCTCAAATATAAACGGATACGATTTATGCAGAAAATTAAGGAAAAAATTTTGTTCCAACACACATGTTCATACATATTCTACTTCTTCTTCCACTGCAATGGATATGTCTTCACATGTAACCAAACGATTGAGAAACAAGATCTGAATAAAATATACAATATTTATGAGTTTTTAAATATTCTTCTGCCTCATTCTGAAAATGTAGTCGGAAGGAATTATTGCTACGATGACTACCGAAATAGGTGGATTCTTAAATCAAGATGAACGAGTTATGTGCCAAGGATTGTACTTGCCTGAGGTATGCGAATAAAATACTGCTTTAAAGTACTCCCAAAAACGCATACAAAGCTATTACCACTAGATGACTTTTCGAAATGGTGAATACAAACTTTTATATTTCTCAAGTATTTTATTGATAGTCAGAGTCGACTATGTAAGTTCGGGCTGCTACAAACACCATTGTACCCAAAGGTAAAAGAAAGGTACAGTCGAGTAGATTTAGCGGTAAATATAGTGTGCTTGCACAGAAGGTGAAATGCGGTAAAATTGGCGCTTGAAGAAATAGTTTCGACTGTGACGCCGGCCAATTGCGCGCGCAAGATACCCGCGGTACTGACCTGGCTACTTGTTCACGCGCAAATTTCACCGCATTTCACCTTCTGTGCAAGCACACTATATTTACCGCTAAATCTACTCGACTGTAAGTCCAAACATTAATGACATCTCAACAGCGCATGCGGATACTAGAGTGATAATCTCATAGCATACTGAGGTAAATAGAAGGATAGGTAATAATAGATGTATTCGACTTTTCTAGTTCAAATAAACCATTCGAAGACGAATAATTGAAAAATATTCGGTTCTAACTATAATGTTCTTCGATGCTCATGTCAACTCAATTATTAGGTTGGCGGATGATTTCTGTTACATCTTCAAGTTTTACTGCCATTTTAATTGGGAACGTCTATAACATAGTATTGAGACCTTTATAAGCTCGAGTTGAGTTCCTCTCCGAAAAAACTTATGGAATTTTTTGCATTCTGATATCATTATACATTTTCCCCTTTCTTTGGAAAGCTATAGGCATCACACTTGCTAAAGAAAGATGGTGCGCAAATACATTCCTTTAGTTTACGATAAGGAAAAAGCGCAAACATAGGCAAGTAAAGTTCAAGGGAAGAAGGGAACATTTGAGTGTGCCCATGAACTTCGTAATTGGTGAATGAGAGTGTCTTTGTGGCGTCGAACATACCGTCAGGTAGATTCCGACACCTCTAGGTACAAAGCGAATTTGACTTCAGGAAGTTTCTGCAACCTTTTTAGAAGCAAAAATGCCAGAAATCACTTGCCGAAAAATGAATGACTCCCATGACTCCCACCAATGCAGCCTGACCTATCCAAAGAGCCGCCGTATCTTGGATTGCAGGAGATAAAGGTCAAGTATGCGTTGCTGAGCTAGTCGTATTGAAGATACATTAGGGTCAAGGTGAGTATCGTCTTCACTCAGTTTATCGTTCTGAGAATTTTATTCAGCATTATTTGCTCGTTTTTTAGATGACGTTTCGCTTTCTGGTGATCCTCGCTGTGATAGCCATGCTCCATCTAGCCATCGCTTTCCCACAAGCATATTCAGTAGGAGCACTAGCGCAGCCAGTGATTGTGCCGCAGCCGGTGCTGATCGCAAATCCACTCATCTCTCCTGCTGTTGCTGTTCCTTCACCAATTATCGGTTGAAATCAAATAAACTTCAATTGCCTTTCACTTGCATCAAATTCATCTGCTAATATCACCAGACATGTACTCAATAGTTTGTCCTTTAAAAATTGCTCACTATTTGTAAATCATGATGAAGAGATAAATTTTCCACGCATACCTATTCTGAGTGAAATATTAGGTTGATTCATAATTAATGCACGTTTTCTATACTTCAACTTTCAACTGAGATATATAAAAATGATACTTTTGCATGACTGTACCTATCACAAAAAAGATTTTCTGGCCTGAGAATTGCCAACAACTTTTTTCAGAAGCCTCTACTTTGAGAAAGCATAACTTATATTGAAATGAAGAAGGATAAAACAGACTTCGCTCATCGTGTAGCCAAGGGTCTCTTGAGTAGTAATGCCAAGTTTGGATTTTACGGAAAATTTTTGAAAGAGAATATCGCGAAAAAGTCGAAAGTACTCACTTTTTTGGCATCTCGGCGGGTTCAAAAATCGCTCATTTTTGAAATCATCTCATTTTTCTCCGCTGGAAAGTGAGAGAACCCTAGCACTTTTCTACCATCAAGTGAACTAGGTCTACCCTTGCTAAATATTGCAAAAGATCTGCAATCGCCTCTTGCTTTGAAGTTTTATATGGCACGGAATCGCCGCGACGATCATTCAAGTTCGCAATCGAATTTCTCAGCTCAGAATCCATGGAATATTTTGTTCAAATAGCATCTTGTAGCACAAAGTCTCCTAATCCTTACGCAATTTTTTTGAAATTAATCCAAGCGTTCCTCATGAATTTAGGGCAAAAAGAGTGAACGCAAAAATTTTGGGATTTAGTCTCTTTTATTTGAAGGCTTAGAACTTTGGAACAAAAGGAGATTTACGAAAGCGAAGGCCTATGTAAGAAACTAGAAAAAACGCTCTTTTAGATAGCTCAAAAAGTTTTAAGCAAATTGATTACACATCAAATACCAGCTTTTGGAAGAAGAGATGAGAAAAACGTGCATTAATTATGAATCAACCTAATATAATACAATGGATGCTGACAAAAAGTCTGAGCAATCTGTATGCTCACCAGCAATGTTGATCAAAGGTCAGAATATATCGCGTGGACTGAGCAGCAGTCTGAAAAGTTTATCATAACGCTTCTGTTGGAAATGCTAGGATACCACGATACCGCTTTTGATTTTCTTATAGTTTTGGATAATCTGATTATGGCATGTAAATATAACTACCTATTGGTATTACGGTTCACTTTCTTAGAGTTATTACCGACTTCTTACTAGGGTAGGTGCACGAATAATATTGTGAGAGGAATTTGTATAATGTTTCTCGGATCAGAACACTGTTTTAGATAGCTACTACCCATTTGTCGACCAGATCTTGAGAAAATCTCCGAGATTTTGGCTTTTGAGAGCAACTGCTCTGCTTGAACTTAATTTTTTCCTCCAAAAATGAGCGTGGGTACAAGAATGATATCTGGGAGGAAATTGTACAGTGCCCATCAGAACAAAACACTGCTTCAAAAAGTTACTATCTAATTTCTTCCCCAAATATGAGAAAATCTCCGAAAATCTCGCTTTGAGCGGTTGCGGCAATCCATATGCTGATGAACTGGAAATTAGTCGGAATAATCATAGATCTTGTACAACCTTTTCTATGGATTTGCCCCAAACCGCTTGCTAGTGACCTATTGTGTCGCTAATCAAAAATATAAAACCATTTAGCAAAAACTGTTCATTTGTCATCATCGCCAAAAATCGAGAGTTCTAAAGCTCTACGGACACTTCCAATAACAGAGTCGATAATACTTATGCTAGATGTCTTCCACCCCAACCCTCGTATCATTGTTAGGAATTATTATCAAAAGATTTGCACGCTGTTTCTATAATTTGGTTCATACACGATAATGAGCAGGATCAAGCGTGGGGTGCGGCACGCCACAACTGGGGGTCGTATTGAGGAGTCAAAAGGGGAGGGGGTCGTAGTTGGGTAATCTGTTAATAGTGATAACATGATATTTGTATCATATCCATAATTAGCACGTCAATTAACCCCTGTAGACAAAGTGTAAGCGAATTCTTAAGATTCAAGATACTAAGCTACCTAAATGAAATGGTCAAATTCCAACATGGTTAACTTTGTTTTAAAGGTGAATTAGCTATCCGTTCTTGCACTCAAGAGAAAGCACTACTCCTTCTTTGTCCACCTCAGGATTCCCGCTTCAGAAGATTTGCAAACTGTGGAATTAGAAGCTAACCAAAATCTCGTTTTTCCCATTTTTCGCTTTTGACCGCTGTGCTTTCACCAAATATTACTCAGACTGAGAAGACGAATCAGGCTCCAAACAGTCCTATGGAATCTACAAGGTTTAGGCTATCGATTCATATAAATACTGTCCGCTAAAAATGTTTTTTTGATATAGTTAATGAGGTGCGGCACACCCCCTTAAAAGCTGCGGCTGCCGCAGCTTTTAAGGGGGTGTGCCGCACCCCCTTAACTTGCCTTCAAAATCCAGAAAGCGCTCCATTGCTGGTATAAGTATTGAGCACATAGCTTCTTCTTGCTACACTGGAAATTTGGAGCCGAACGCCCCACCCATAACAAAATTATAGCCCTTTCAATATGCCCATTCAGATCAAAATCAGCCGTCAAATCACGTGTAATTGTAAAGTGCAATCACAGAAAATCGGGCGTACAGCTCTCAGAAATCTGAAAACTCTTTAGAAAAAGCTGGTGTCCTCCAGAAAGTACACTTTGAGGTCCAAAGGTTAAGAGGAGGAAGAAGGGTCGTTTGAGAGCTTTCATGGGAGGGGGGGGAGGTTGTTTTCGAAAGACTTGTGCCTGAACTCTCTCAACTCTGGTAATGCTATCTTAGGTATATAGTTCAGGGGGGGGGGTCTTATTAAGACAGCAATCAGGTGGGGGGGGGGGGTCGTAAACAGCGATCGTGTGCCACACCCCTTGCTTGACCCTGATAATGAGCCTAGCGTAAGGGTGGCATTCGGGTTCCGGCAAACAGTACAAGAAAAGTACTCAAACTACAAACCAATTAGATGTTTCATTGATGTTTGCCACCTTCAGCAAAAAACTGCAGACTCGTTCAGTTTTCTTCATCATTGTTAACGTCACCTTCTTATTATTGCCATATTTTTGCGTCGTACATATGAATCCTTATAGTACTTTATGGCTTAACAATTGCGACCCGCACGCCATGTATGACCGATACTAATTTGAGTCTGGACTACGTAAATGGTTTCTGAACATACCTTGGAGTGTTCGAAGGGGGTGCAGAAGTCTCTAGCAAATGAGCTCTAATCGCTTTCTAAAATTCCATTCTCCAGCAAAAAATGGAACCATCAGAAATTTTAAGCATCAAAGCTTTCATACATTGATCCACAGTTGCATAAAAGGGAAACTTGAAAGGAGAAGAGATGTCGCCTTTATTTGCTGCAGTGTTCTCAAACTCAAACGTTGTGTATCTACAAACACAAACATTTTCTTCCACAAACTTGCTGATCCTATCGTTCACACAGCTCATTGTATTGTCCGTATGCATGACAGGCTTTATCACCACAAGACTATACAAATTTACTACGCAGTCTGCATGAACAAAAATTGGAGAATGAAAGATTTTTATTATGTGAAGAAGTTGAGGTTTTTAGTTTCGAAATTGAATAAATACAGACAGCACTTTGTGATCCTCCATATCATTGCGCTATCCTATGATAGGCTGGGCACGACAACGGGGGAGACTACGGGGGAGGATCCAACAACTGCGGATTGTTGATGTACTGGTGAAGTTACTAGTCCAGTTTGTTGTATCTGTGGACGAGCGGTGATTGGTTGGACCATTAGCAGGGCAGCGACAAGCAGGAGTGTTCGAGACATCTAAAAGTAGTATAATTGGCGCAAACACATAAAAATATTGAAGGCACGCATTCAAATTCTGAACTAGACCAAGTACCTATGCGAATTTCTTTTGATGGGAGTGTTATCCTCAAACGTTTATAGATGATCTGGGCCGTCTAAGATAACATTCGCCGTTCATATCCAATCTTAGCAAATCTAACAATAAGAGACAAACTTGATCGGTCGATTCTGGAAGTGGCATTATTTGCGTTAAATAACTCCAAACAGCTATAATTAGCCCGAGAGGATGCGATAAACTTATCAGAAGTAGCAAGTCTAACGCATCCGAAACCTCTTTTTTGATCAATTGTTATTCCTTTGAAGTTTCGCTGTATGGTTGAACTGAGCTAACTTTCAAAATCCAGAGATTCGTAGTAAGTCAAGATTGTACTTTGCTGGATGTTACATAAGTAAACTGATGTTTTGTCTCAGAAAACCACAATGCGTCGATGTAAGTGTGAACAAAAAGAATTCTAATGAAGATTTGTGAAATTAGAAAATAAAAAATGTATTTGTTAGCTCTTTCGAGCCTGTTTGCGGTGGGTGGGCCTTGAAGTTATTACGGGATTTCAAATCATGTATCAAAAAGTTACGCAGAAACTTTCAGGGTGTCCTTTTAAAGCTAACAGAATTAAACGAATTTAGCGATTTTTTTTCCAGAAGAAATTTTTGAGTCACTCGATCCTCGCAGCGACTATAGAGGTCTTAAAACATTGTTTTTTCAATATTTCATTTCATTCATCCATTTCCAAACAAGAAGATATTTTGTAATTGTGAAGGTCCAATAGAAAGACTCTATGCTCACATAGCTTATCCGCCCGGGTAACTCTAATTTAGCTTACAACGAGCAAAATTGGGCTTTTTTCGCGCTACTCAGGGGCGCCCAAGCAGATGTGAACCTTCTGAGCTCTGTTATAGTCGTCCTCACCCCACTAGTCGGTCGGTGGACAAATTCGAATTCGAAGTGGAGCAGGCAGGTCGCGGCAGAGCACGGCATCTTAGCTCTCCGTTCAAATTCACGCATTCACTTTGCGTTTTTCTTCGCCATTGCTCAAAAGTTTTTGGTATTATTTCAAAGTTTTTGACCTATATTGAGTTTTTGTAATTGCTGAATGTAGTATCCTGCCGCTATGCTCGTATTTTGTTTAAGTGAGCTTATGGAAACGATAAGCCCGGACAGACTTCACGCGATTTGATCGTCGCGACTCAATCGCCGACATTTCCATTCATTTTCATTTCACATTCAAAATTTTCGGGCTGGAAAAGTATCACAACCGAAATGCAAGTCGATCGGCATGGAATGATGTTGTAACAGTTGTCTCGTCGCGATTCAATCGCGACGATCAAATCGCGTGAAGTCTGTCCGGGGCCATACAGATGGCAAATTTGGAGCATATAATTCACTGGAGCAACACTTTTGCATATGATACTTACTAAGAAATGTTTTACAGCATAAGTTCACCATCTGTATTGTTTCTCCAGGTTTACCTGCAATCAGAGTTGAAGAAACGAGCTTAGCAACACGAAACAACTTCCGACAACAACGAAATTGTCATTTTCTACAAACATACCTATAGTATAGAGACTAGCAAGTAACGACCAATAAAAACGATAAAGAAACACAGAAAATCATAAGGGGGGGGGGGTCGGATGCCACGCTCTGCCGCGACAGGCCTGCTCCAATTCAAATTTAAATTCGTCCACCGATCGACTAGTGGGGTGAGGACAACTATACACTCGAATAGCAGGGCCTCGAACGAATACTGCACAAACCCGGACTCCACCTACTGCCACTAAAAGGGGAAAATAGGCGTCCAAGACTCTAGAGCAATTAAATGTTCGCCCAAATCTGTTCGAGGCCATCCTCCTCCAACGAAATCTCCTCACCCTTGTCGCGTTCTCACATGAAAAGCACAATTAGGGCATACTATTCAACCTGTTAGTGCTTTGGAAAGACGATTATGGCTGTGTGCGATATTCGAAGTTTACCATGCAAATTAAAATCGGTAATGGGGGGGGGGGGGTTTCCGAAATGAAGGCGGGATTCGGGCCAATTCCGAAACGAGGCCAGTTTTTTCGCAAACGCACTTTTCCGTTCCGCACTTCACTTTTTATAGTTGAGGAGGGGAGGAGATCCCATTGAAACAGTAGCCATCATTTGCCAAAATCTGCCTTTTAGGGCCCGGCGCGAATCATCTACACCTTTTACAGAACTCAGGTGCTCATTATTGGTATCTGAATATTCAATTGTAAGAAGCCAAATGTTCATGAAAATGATAAGGAATTGTAACAAGACCCTCTCGATAAGTATGTATCGACTTCCCTCGTTTTCCGCGAGTCGCGAATCGGCGGGTCCTGAAGCGAAAATCTGCACTCGGAGATGCCGCCAAAGGAAATATCCCAAAGTTATTTAATTTTTTTGCGTTTGCTATTCAGTTTATGTCTTTCCCGTCACCAATTTTTCTAAAACAACCCTCACTTTACGATTTTCTAGACCATCGAAGATATGCTCTAGATAATTAGATGGTCTGAAAATGGTGTAGTCTTGATTGTAAGCGTAAACAACCCATCCGTCCAACGCTCTATCGATGGGGTTGAGCTCGTCTGATGTAAACGCTTTGGGATGTTCTCAACGGCACTCAGCCTCTGCAAAAGCCTCTCAAAAGACTTCTACTGCAGTCGTTATAGGAGCCGGGTATAAATCACGCGATTTCACTCGCGACGCGATTTGGCAGTATTTCAACTGTCCATAACTCACCGTAAGCATATTTCAAATGTACAGAAGATAGTCATTTCATCAATGAACGTGAGCTATACACATTATGCATGTGCAGTCTGCTAGTATTGGATCTGAAGTCTGGCGAATTGCCAAATCGCGTCGCGACTGAAGTAGTATGAAGTATGCCCGGCCCTTGAAGTCAGCGTCTCCTCAGAATTTGTTTACCAGATTTTCAATTTTTCGGGGCTTTCTCGCCATGAGAAACACATATCTGGGCTTTTCAGCGCATGAAAATGTCGAAAATAAGCTTTTTTCGAAGCTTTTTAGATCCGCAATTGAAGATACGCCGGAAAAAGCCGCGCTCCGCCTTCCTTGTTCCACGCCCCGCCCACTTCTCCACTGATGCGAACTTAGAAAGCTTCGAAAAGCTCATTTTCGCCATTTTTATGGGCCGAAAGGCCTAGATATGGGCTTCTCATGGCGAGAAGGCCCCGAAAAGGAGAAAATCTGGAGAACAAAATTCTGCCGAGACGCTGCCTTTAACATGTAAGAAGTGTGATTTTCTTATTTATAGAATGACAAAAATTTTGATTTGTGGTTGATGGCGAAGAAATAAAGTTTTACTGTGTAGAGGTTTCGAACGATTAGCACATTTATTGCTTTTTGTCACACACATTTCATAAGCGGACAGTTGTCTTCATTTCTGTATTCCACATCTTTACATCCGACTTCGTCTCTTATCAACATCATACCGTAACCTGGATGATTCATAGGGCACCTCTTGCAAGCTGAAACCGACATAAACCTCAGCTCTGTTGAAGATTTAGTGGACGTATAGGAAAATGCTTACATCCACATATTCCATTCTTGCAGACACATCCATCTTTACAACCAGCGTTGCTTTTGCATGCCTCATCAGCGCTGCAAGCTTAAATGAAAGAAAATAGACATGAATTATCTTTACTCACGATGAACATGCTTTTTGATAACGTAACATACCCACAAGCACTAGAGCCAAGAGAAAGATTAGCGCATTCATAACTAAAAAATGCGATTTCATACGAAAGCAGTGAATAGGTTATAACTCGAGTTGTTAGCCATAAGAGAACAGAGCCGCCTATGTCTTGCAATCAAGCTGAACATATATTCTGGTTGTTGTAGGCGTACATATGTGTAACAACCATTTACCTTGTTTCTTTTCAGTTTTCCCATAACCAACACTTGCATAAAATTCGCTCGCAATGCAAGACATGGGCAATAGCACGTGCGAAACGGTGATAAAATTCGCTGATAAAATGCGTTCTACGTTTGAGATTGCAAAAAGTTTTTTATTTTAATAATGATGTTTGGTGATCACGATGTCCTATCTCTGCGAACATCAATGTTGTCTTCATGGCAAGGAGATGCGAAGAAAACGTGCCAAGCCTGAGCTAACATCGTCGGATCAACGTTTCTTTAGAACTACCATGCATATGATTTTTCTTGTGGAACATATATTTGTAGAGCGTGTACGAGCCAATATTCTTCTCTTACGTATTTTGGTCCTCGAAAAACTATCACTCAAGTAATCGTAGCGTTCGACATATAGGACGTAAAGATGAGACTTAGCATTCTAGTTTGTGACATTTAATTTCGTGACATAAAAACTGGCAAACAAAAGATATCTCGAGGAAAAAAAGGACTGAGCGCTATGCACTCGAGCAGAGTTGACCGAATGGTTAGTGCTTTACGTTGTGCGCTGAAAATCGCTGGCATGCGGTAAAATTTTACTCATAGTTCTAGCGTCAGCGTAGGCTCCTCAAAAACACTACTTCAATCATATAACTCAAGCATGTCAAAGTAACTCGACTAAGGCTTGGGCATTCGCCTGATGCGATCCACTTTAGAGTAATCTGTTTGGTTCCGGAGAGAAAACTATGTCGCAGTTCCCAGCAATGAACTTACTGCTGGCTACAGTCTCACAGTATGTGAGACAAGTGAAAGATGACGAATGTTTGTAGTATGGGTTTCATTTCAACTCCGTAAGTTGAACTCACAAACGCCACGCCTCATGCTTCAAAAATGCAAGCCAAACTGAGGGAAAATCATCAGCTGAGGGAAAATCATCCGTCATGAGCTCAACAAGCTACAATACCACCCACATAACTTGCAAAATTTCCGCGAATGTCGCGAAATTCCAAAAATTCCGCGAAATTCCCGGAATTTCGCGAAACTTTGCGACATTCTCGGAATTCCGCGACATTCAAGGAAATTTTGCACATTCTGTGAGCGGTATTGTATAGTAATATATCATAAGTGGCAAGGAATTACAGTTCACACCTAAAAAGCGAAGCATCGATATTTCGGAGGTTAGTGAACCACCAAATCCTCAAAAATTGATAGAACCGATATTCTGAAGGTTTCGAAATCCCGAAAATTGACAAAAGTCGATATCCCAAAAATCGACAAAATTCGATAAAATCGATATCTTGAAGGTTGCGGAACCCCGAAAATCGACAAAAATCGATAAAATCGATATTCTGGAGGTTTCGAAATTTCGCAAACCTCACTTTCAGCGTTTTTGCACAGCTACAACTCTTCCAAACAAGCTTCGCCCACTTTCCACTTCACATCACGACCAAAATAAAGAACATAAGCAAAATTAAGGGAAATTAAGCGAAAATCGCGTTTTTCTAACCCTATTTACCCCTTTCTAGCCGTTTTCAGCCCTTTTCTAACCATATCCAGATGGCCGCCATGTAACTATCACACGCGTTGCAATAATAAAGAGAGGGGAAAAATGAGGGGGAGAAAGAGGAGAATTTGCGAGAGCCTGAACTAAAAAAAGCGTCCGGTTTCATAAATGGCAGGGGCTCCCACAGGCGGAGCCCCTGCCATTTCTCCGAATTATATGTGGTGTCCCCCTCGAACACAAATTGAAACGTGACTATCCCAGCCCGTCGTCCATACTCTCCACGGAGAAAAAATTTAGAATATGCATCATCGGCTTTATATAGCGCCTCCTACGCAGAAGCTACAGCTATGATCTACCCCTAGAAAAATAGAGCTACCAAAACTACATGTAAATGACCACATCGCATTACCCCAGCCCTGCATATCGTAGAGATATAAGGGCGCAAAGTCGCCCTTGTTGACAGATTTCTCAAGTTCGGCTGTCAATTAGGCACTTTTATTGGAAATTTGTTATCCCTACGACTTTCTCTCTAAAAATCATATATCAAGAGGTCTGTCCAACAAAACAAACCCCAGCTCCATATCTGAAAATATCCGCAGAGTTATTAGCCCCCAAACATGCATGCTAAGGCCATGAAATCGACTCCTCCAAAGTTGCCCCGTAATTCCTCCAAATATCACGTTAGACACCTCTCTCATACCTATACACCCCATATTTTTTCCAGCTTCCTACAATTAGAGGCAATACACACTAATATAGCGCGCTCACTCCTCACTCTTGGCCTAGCGCAAGATTTGGTCAAAATATTGAGTTTCTGGGATTGACCGGAAACTTCACTCATAGTGGTTTTTGGTCCCGATCTTTACGAAAATCTTAGTTATTTTGCACTAGAGAGCCTTACAGTAAAGCAAAAGTGAGATAGAAATAGCTGAAACAATCAAGATCGCAACTTCGCCTGCACTTTTCGCCTATCTATTGCGAAAATTGTCTGCAAATTTTTGTGAGTTCAAGACTTTGTGAACAGTTCTACCGGGCCATGCTTAGCACAGATCTTTTCTTGCATTGTTCATCAAATTATAATGTCAAAATCGCCTTCTCATGTAGCGTTTCTCAAATTTAAAAGTCGTGTAATTTGGCAGATTCTATTCTACAATGTGCCACCAGCAGCAAAACTGTAAGAAATGTGAAGCGGAAATTATAAGATCTCCTTCATACATGCATTCGAACATATGGCATTGTCATAACTGAAGAAAAGCTTATAGATCATTTCAGCATGAAGGTTTGAAAAAAATTTATATGGCCTTTTTAACGTTTATCTGCTGGCAGCAGATGAGAAAATTACCGTTTTGTCAGTTTATCAGCCAGATACAATACCACCCACATTACTTGCGAAATTTCCGTGAATGTCGAGAATTTCCGAAAATTCCGCGAAAGTCCCGGAATTTCGCGACATTCACGGAAATTTTGCGCATTCTGTGAGCGGTATTGTACCATAAGCTAACCGAGATAGTGCTCAAAGGCGGATTCAGAAAAAAACTCACAAGTTGCTCCGAAGTAAGTTACGGTACAGATCAGCTGTACAATGGCAAGTACGTCATCTGCCAGTGTGGGCTACACGTATAGAAGGTTGCAAAGTAGTGTATGCGCGAGGCTTTCTCGAATTTTATCATTTGAGTTAAAGTTAATGAAGTTAATAAAGTTCTCAATCAAATGCTGTGCAGAGACTCACGTGGGGTATCGCTTATTTGAACTCGGCTGAGGCAGCTTTGCTATAAAGTGAACGTTTCTTCACGCTAAAGTTCCCCCATCATGCCTAGATGTTGTCTCAGGGTTCATGCACACGGCACACGTCTCTGCCAAAACACTTGAATGTGCGATCGACCCCAATCCGATAGCTAATGAGACGATAGCTTGGAAGACAAAAGAAGGCAGAATAAGTAGAAGAACTACTAAAAGACGATATCGGTTTCTTGTTCTATCTATAATGATGCATCGGTAGGTATTGAGACTAGTCACAACACAGAATTTATAAACGGCGTTGGAGATAAATGTGACACAAGTAATGTATTTTGAACTTATATTGCCATTCATTTTTTGTAAAGGCTGCCAGAAAATGTGCGTAGAGACTTGTGATTGGAAAGTGTAACTATGCTCATGTCGACGTCACAGTTTTTTCATAACTACGAATAAAGGAAAGATTGACCGATTACCTACATAGTCAAGAAATTCTGTCCCTTCCTTTTTGAGATAGCAGTTTGTGGTTTCTATGTATGATTATGTGTTAGTCATCAGTACCAACATAATCGCCTTAGCTTGAAACATTCTGTATCTACCGTGTAATTTGAAACTAAACGACATCTTGCCCATAAAAGTTTGCTTATCACAAGGCAACTTTGTCAACCATTTAGGGTTCCCTTGGGCCTTTGGGAAAATTTTCCTGCTGCACGCAGCCTTTGAGCCCAAAGAATTGCAGTGGGCGCAGATAACTTTGAGTTGGGCAAGGGCTCTGGTATCATCTGCAGGAAATGTTCGCTGAGCAGCTAGCTCTCGATGCGCCACTAATTGCTGCTCTAGAGAAAAGTCGAGCACTATCGGCCTGGGAAGATAGCATCGGCGTCCCGAGCAAAAATATTTACACATTTTGTTGGCTCCTACTAGTGGTAGTTCTTTTGATAATCTTGTCAGCTAGATTAATGCACAGCCTTAGCTGCATTGATGTTTCTCAACAACGAGAAAGTTTTGAAAGTAGTTCAGAACTTAGTACTCAAGTGATTTCATATTTTTGCTTGGCAAAGACGACCACCAGCATACGGAACAATGATTGCACCGCATCACTACTTGATGATTAGATTAAGATCAAACCGAATATTATGAAATAATGGTTGAATAATCCACACCGCAAATACTCCGGATAAAATTTGTTGTCCAAATTAGGAATGAAAGCAATGAGCTTTTTGAAAACTTCTAAGCAAAAGGTGTGCTGAAACTTTTTCTCAAAACAATATATTCATTGCAAGTCTAGTAAGGGCAAAATCGCTTTTTTTCCACTTGCTGATATAAGACGAATTCGAAACGCACAAGCGTACCCTGATCGGCAAAGCGGCAGCGACGCGCAGTTTTCTGCGCCGAGCGCGACAGCGAGCACGAACTTGGTTTTTTTTTTACGTTTTCTGAAGTTTCAGCCGCCGATCTTTGTACGCTTGTGTTTTCCCAATTCGCATTCGACAAGGCTTTCCGGACTCGATCAGCAACAAGCACTATTGTCACAAAGTGGAGCAATCACAGCTTTGTAATGTTGGTGTCTAAAATTTTCGGGTACAGTAATGCACACATAGATTGATGGTCTTGTGATTTCGTCCGCGAACCTCCAAGAAGCTTCCTCCCAGTCTGAAATTTCTCCGAAATATTACGCAGTGGAGAAGCATCGTTACATCTGAGGCTCAAACACCCACTAACGGATTTGTTCACGACAACATGTTACCTTTATTGATTTTTAAAAAGGACGCGCAGACTGAAAAAAGACACTGAATTGCGAAGTGCTTGCTCTATCCGCCGGTCAGCAAATTATGTTTGGGGTC